AGCAGGCCGCTTGCTTTGTTACGCGACAGCTCAGTTTGCCGGAGGCCATTCTTTCTTCTAAAGCAAGACTAAGAATAGAAAACCGATGCAAAATCCTCCTTTGTCCCCCGCCCAGTTTAGAGAAGAAGCAATCCAGTCCCAGACCGCTCCCTCGGGCTGGGTATAGCTCTGGCAGACGGTGCCCTTACCTCTTAGAGACTCTGTAATGTGCTGTGGTCAGTTTCCCAGTCTCAGGGTCATGAACAGTAGCACGGCTCAGCTACAAAAAGAGAAAGGACAAGGGCTTAACCCACCTAGTCGGCTGCTTTTTTGCCAAGCCACAGGTGTTTGAAAGGGTTCCGATTGGTCTGGATGGTATGCAATGCTCTTCAATTAGCAATATTAGAAGGGCAACAGAAGCCGCAGCTGCCATGTCCAAATCAAAACAAATTGAAAAAATTTGGTTAGGTTGTCCTTTCACTTTTTTCCTCCTTTTTTTTTTTTTCCTTTCCTTCTTTTTTTTCGGGTTGTTTTCTGCTAGAGACTTTCTGCAAGTAATTTATGATGCTGAGTTTCAAAGACAATTCCTCTTCACCCAGAAGTTTAATTCCTTTCATGACGTTGGCTTGATGTCATTGAAACACCAAGCCTATATTTAACCACCACTACTGAAACCACAGGGGGCAGGTAGGGGACAACTGCTTTCTTTTAGAGCCAACCCATTTTGAACATGAGCTAAATTCAAGACCTGGGGCACTTAACAGACAAGCTGGAAAGACCCAGGAGACCAGTGAAAAAGAGCTTGCGCTCTGCCAGACCTGTGGCAGCAGGAGGTAAAAGAGCCCAGACAGGAGTACAGGATTATCCCAGACAATGGAACTCTGGGTGGCTAACGAACATGTGTTTTGCACGTCGCTCCAGCTGTCACTCACAGCAAGGATTTGAAGCATCTCAGATATATAAAGGCACTTCAAGTGGTCGGCTAGATTTGAAAGGCAAGGGAGGACAATTTTTGGTTGGTGGGAAAAACAAAGTGAAGTGAACATTAAAAAAAAAAAAAAAATCTAGATTCTACCAAGGGTTATGTAGCATCATGTATTTTTTACACTGATTGAAGACCTGCTTCGTGTACAGACAGTCGTTTGAGAACACACACCGAGGTGACCAAAACAGACAAAGAAATCAAAATACGCCCCCACAACTTCTAGCTGAAGGAAAAGACTGAGAAACTCAGCAGTAACAGCCTGTAACAAGATCTGCATGTGATAAAGCGGTGGACTACAAAGCCAAGTTGTCTTTTTAGACCACCTCTTTGATTTTTTTTTTTTTCCCCATAATGAGCAGAATCTACACACTCATTACAGGCCCAAAACATCTGGCATAGAGCTCTCTTACCTTTTGCTAATTCTGTAATGTGCCGTCTCCAAGGCTCCTGTTATGGGGTTTGAAATGGTGGCTCGCCTCAGCTGTGAAGCGAACCATCAGAATAGTTTGCATTACAAAGCACATACTGCATCACAGCAATCCGACCATTCAGAAGCCTAAGGGGGAAATGCCACGCAAGCCACCCGGTTCACCTTTTGCAGTGCTTTTTCTTTTATGGAGGGGGTGGAAATTCATAAAAGCGGTGATGGGGAAGGAGGGAGAGTCTCCAATTTTACTAAAAGAGAGCGGTTTAGGGGTTTTTGGTTTGTTTTTTTCAAACAGAGCGTTAGAGAAGATCAAGCTTTCCAGGAAGAAACATTTCCATTTCTGTAGCAAGAACAGTCGTCTGAATAAAGTATTGCAACAGCTGCTGGAAGTGGCACAATATGGCATGTGTACAATCAGTCCTTTGTTAGCGCTCTGTCCTGCACATATGGGTTTTACAGCTAAACTGAATACAGGCAACACTCTGATCTTGTATAAGAGAAAGATGAATAAAACCCTACCTTTTTGATTCTTTCTATACCAAAAAGCAGGACTGAATCACAAACTAATTGCTGAGCCCACAGACACATTTACATTGTATTGGAAGAGACACAAAACAGCATAGCAAGTCCCAAACAAACACAAGAAGCATTCTTCTATCGCTAAAATAAACTAAGTAAACTCAAGGCCTCTCCACGCCTACTAACAAGAAAAGGTATGGGGAACCGATAATATGCTGCCACTCCTCTCGTGCCGTGCACGACACATTTAGGAATCAAGGTACAAAGTACTACTCCAGCAAGACTCCTCAAGCTGACCAAGAAGGCTCCATGGGGCCAGCACAGCAGGATGGGCACAGAGCAGGCAACGCTGTCTCCTGAGAGGTGGCGACGGTAACATCTCCAGCAAGGAGACAACCTTCCAGTCTCAGAAAACACAATTCTCTTGCTACACTCCTAACTGAGGTCTGTGAGGCCTCGGCCATAGGAAATACGTGGAATGCTAATCGCATACGATGCTTCTGCATCAATGAACCATGAATCTCCGAGTCTTTAGCATGAGCCAAGCATTTGATAAGAAAACAATTGTCTCAGCAAGTTCAGAAGTTGAAATCACCATGTCCACAGGTTATTTGCAGTGCTGAGACTTGTTTCTACTCCATAAAGAAGTGATTCAGACATATTCCACAGATGTAATGCCAGAGTTTTTGCAGCAGCAAAGGGGCTTAATCACCCACAAACAACTGGGGCTCTGGTTTGTAGAGCTGCAGCAAGGCTGTCTGACATGAGAGCAGGAGGAGATGATTTACAGGTAAGTGAAGACAATTGCTTTTACTTCTTGCTTACAGTTCAGAATGTTACCTCAGAAATACAGCACATCAGCCTTCAGGTTGATTTAAAATCACCTTCAGGCTACCCAGTACTCAGTGCAGTGGGAAAGGACAGCCTCATACTCAGTGTGCCCATGTGTTACCCACAGCTGATTTACTTTGCAGCAGACCAAGCTAGCATTCTGTCATATACTTAATGCACTTATTCCCCTCATTTCCATTTGCTCAGCTCTCCCTGGCTGAAAAGCCATTTAGGCTAAAAACAAAGAAAAAAAGGAAGGAAAATTATTTTTCTACAAGTTTCAATCTTATTCAGAAGTAATCAATGGAAAAATATATCTATTTAACTAACTACATCTTCAGTGCACACCTTGAGGTGCGAAGTCACACTGGATAGAGTGTGACTGGATACTGAAGGCAACTTGGTCAGTTTGCTGTTTGTCTCGGACACTCCTGCTCACTCTGACAGTAGAGCTGCCCTGGATTACTCCGCATTCAGAAACAAGAACCTCAGGATCCAGTTTCTGAAACAGGATTGGATGAGCCGGCATTGTGAATAAGCAGCTGATTAAGTCTGCCCTCTTACAGCTCCTTTATCTGCAAGCAACTTCAAAGCCTGGGAGACAGAAGTCAAGTTTTATACTGAATGGAAAATACAACGATTCATTCTTGTCTCTACAATAAGGTAGCATTCCAGGACCAGAGGAATGGCTGCCTTCCCACATAACACTCTTGCTGTGTCACAACTTTGGCAAACACACGCCTAAAGAAAAAACAAAACGAAGAAACCTGAACAGAAACCAGATGACACGTGTACCTCAAGGCAACCTAGCTGCAGTACAGTCGTTTTCTGTTGTAGAACATTCTCCTTCTTATCTGACACGGCACTGCTGAAATTGTGTCTGCCAGAAGAGGCCGAGAATCTTGCACTGCTGTTACCTGCCTCTCTTAATTACACAGTTTCCAGCTTCCCCATTGTCTCCTTCAAAGAGCGTGTCACCAAGAGATACCAGGTGAGAAAGGCAACATATGAGCACACTGCACACACATCTGCATTCAAGATGAGGCAAAAAAAACCACACACGCATGCAGAAAACTACACACGGAATTTAAGGTTCCAAAAGGCATAAGGCATTTACCCTTGGCTTTGCTAGTTCTTTCACAGTTTCGATCTCTTCATCAGAGATGATGTCAAGGAAGCGAACAATTCGAGGTTTGTCCCACTCATCCTCCTGTTTGACAGGGCCCAGAATGTATCTAGGATTCCTGTTCCCATCGTAGTAACGGCAGAAGAGTCTTTTTTGTCTCCGAGGAGTCTGAAAGCAAGTGGGACAAGAGATAATCAGAAAACTTCCATGAAATTCATGTTTCTAAGAAACAAGATGTCCTGAAAACAACAGACAGGAGCAATTCATTTTCCCTACCTTAATGTTAGAAGTTAAAAGAGAAATTAGTACTTTCAGCAAATTAACATTACTCAATAATACTGCATCAAGCAGGACTTCTCATAGTCCTTTTAAAAACAGCTTTGTCACTAAAAAAAGCCCCTACTCTCATTCAATACTGCACATCTAGACTTCCAGCATCTTTATTTAGTTAATCGCAGTCATGTAGCACATCCAAGTTCTTCAGCTGTGCCTGCGGCAATATTACTTTTTGTCTACTGGATAGAATGAAGCGGGGAAGAAATCCAACATATGCTAATCCTCAGTTCTACACACTCAGCCAACTGCTATAAAAACTTCATTGCTTTCACGCCACATACGAATTCTTGACATTGTTTTGATACGGTTGGTTTCATACATTTGAAAACAGTCTACTCCACTTTACCATTTTGAGACCCTCCCCACGGCACAGCATTTCATACTTCCTTCTCTCGGGCAGGTAATCCTTTTTCTTAACCTCAGTTTCCCTCTCCATCTGGTCTTCTGAATCCGTACTGGACTTATTTGCTTCTTTTTCTTTAGCCATGATATATTCAAAATACTTCATGTTCCCATTTGCTCTTTGATGTTCAGGATCTGTTGACAACGATACAAACAAGTATCACTGGCAAGTTTCCAGCTTGTGAAGAAGTATCCACACCAGAATATTTACAGAAAGAAAAAGAAAAGAGATGCACCCTCCTGCTTCTCCAAAAGAAATCACAAACATCCCTGGTTTAAGAGCATTCACAGAACAGCTAAAGCCTGCAGCAAGCACACATCCTTACTCCTCCGCAGGAAAGGACACAAAGAGCTTTCAGACCTAAGCTCAACACATTCATAGGTAAGAAACTGCTTGCTCTGAAGCCAGGATCCTCACTACGCACCAAGGCCCAAGCACTAAGAAAAAGGGTTTGGACATTTCCGATGATCTCACCAGGGAGGGAAAGGCAAGGAGACTGGCCAGGGAGAGAGCTGGGACAGTAGGACTGGCTTTAAACCCAAGAACTTCCCTGATGGGAATAAAAATTTCTGGTAACAAAGCTTTTAACCATCACTAAACTTATAGAATTAGCTTCAGTTCATTAATAAATGAACTATCACCAGCCTTTGCTGTATTAGGTTTAGTTCTGAGCTTCCTACCGCATCCGTTACAGTAAGCGTGGGGAATATTTACAGAAGTATAAATACTTTTCTTATTTCCTAAAACAATATTGCATTCTGTAATGTTTATTTTTCCAAGTTTTTCATCTCAAGTATGCTTAATTTGCATCTAAATAATCTGCAGAGATTTGGAGTCGCCAATTTAGCTTCAATTTCATTAATTTGGTTCCTGCCTGTACATTTCTTACCGAAAAGTAAGATATAGTAAGAGAATCAAATTTCAGGCAGTAATGACTAAGACTGGTACGTGGTTGGAAGACAACAGCAACAGCAGGCAGAAAACACTTTAACAGAAAGGAGCAATCCTTAACCACGACACTTTCTGATGTGGTAACTGAGATTGTAATTGTCCGTCTAAAAACAGGGTAGCAAAATCTGATTTATGGTAATACAATCCTCATTTTAACTGAAAACTACACATCAGGATGTTAACGGTCATGTCAGTAATAATCCTTTTTGAGAACCTATATACAAGTCAGAACAGAGCTAAGACCACACTCCATCTCTGCACAAATCAGTAGCTAGCATCTGCTCCACCACAGAGCTAGATCGTGGTGAGCGTCAGATCCCTCCGGCTTACCCAGCTCCAGAAGGCGTTTGGTGAGCATCATAGCTTTGCCCAGGTCTCCCTGCTGGTACACAGCGTAACTCAGATAGTCCAGGATGTAGACTTTATCAGCAGAAGACACTTCGCCCTCATCCAGCTGCTTCAGAGCTTGTTCCATCCAAAGCTCCGTGTGGTAGTAGTCAGCTTCAGTGTAGGCAATCTTTCCCAGCTCAAAGCAATCTTCAGCTGTTAAAAAGGATTTGTGCTTCACACCTGCATTTAAAGCAAACCAAACAGAGTTCACACAGAATTACAGACCAATCTTCAGAGTAACAGTCAGTTATTTCTTAATTCTTTTCAGCACAGTTTCTCTTCAACCTCTCCATTTTGTGGCGGCTGTTTGCTGAAGACTCAGTTTAAGTATCTAAAGCCTGTAAATCCTTGGCAGAATACACAAGTGGTTAGATACAGTTTTCCATTGCGAGAACACCAGCAACCAGCCAAATGTCTTTACCATTAGTGGAAAATAAAATGAGCCTTCCTTCTTCAAAACCCCAAACGCTTCGAGCAATCGTAATACAAAGTTGCATCAATCTGGTTTCAAAGACATTGCATTATTGCTTTCAAATTGTTACTGAAGGACATCTTGTTAGTGACAGCATAATAGGGGAAGAAAAGCAAAATCTTAACAACATCAGTCAGTAAATTCCCAGCTTCTCAAGAGTTTTGAAGGCAGTCATTTTTTAGAAACATTTGAAGAGATGTCTGAAAGATTAAAACATTAGTAAGCAAATTACACATTCCTATTTTTGCCACTGTAAATTAAGGCCCAACGAAACCTCAGATCCGAACATGTAAAAAGGAAATGCGACCTGGCAGTTATTACATTTATTACGTATAATTACATATGTTACAGACATTACATATAATTACATTCCTTCTTACATCTTAACACATCCTGGGTTTCCAATAGCAGCTCCCACATCTGTGTTCAAACAGGGGAATTCTTCTATTAAAGACATGCCTTAAGAGATTAAACAGCTGAAGGGACATTCATGACAAGCAGCATCCAACAAACCAAGTTTGTTTCTGCTCACTAATTAAACACCTTGCTATCCTTCCTGTGACGGCCAGTGATTTCAGGTTTCTGAGTCTGGAGCCGCAAACTCTAAAATAACACAAATATTAAGGAATGTGGGGCAGTGGCGGTGGAGTGCTCTGGAGTAGCAGGTTGCAGCACTGTAGCCTTGCACATCTGGAAGCAACATAACATCCAAACACAAAAGGCAACTCTAAAAGGGTACTCAAGACCACAGTCATCAAATAGTGTTGATAATTAATATAAAGAAACAGCACAGCCTGTAATGCAGGAAAACTAGTAAGCGATACAGCCGTAGTCAAGATTCCAACCAAAATTTGTCAACCTGGCCAAACAGAAATTTCCCGGGAAGGAAAACAAGGAGCACAGAGGAGTGACTGTGTGGAATGTTCCTCTCTGGAGCTCTGAAGAGATCAGCCTATTCTCTTGTAATTGCAGAACCTGAAAGTTCTCGAGAATGCACTGTATTACACACAGTCTGGACAGTTTATTGCTTCAAAAGAAGCAATAAGCTACTTTTAAGAAAACAATAACAAACTGTTTATTGCATTAGAATCAATCTGTAGATCTTTCAGACAGTCTTGAACTAAACCCAAAAGCAAGGTTATACATCATAACATATAAAGCCAATTACCCTTAATTTTATTAGGCATCTGACCACAATGAGTGCTTTCAAAAACACAGATGGATTGCAGAGTTGATTTTTTGCCAGTTGGCACAGTGCTATTTTCAAACAGAGGAAACAAGGAACTCAGCAGAATCTTCTACCAAAGAAGCAGCATGTCTACTCCTGCATAGGTCTATTAAAGATTACCTCAGGTAATGCCACATAACCTCAAGTCTATGAACACGCTTTGTCTTTCGTTGTTAGTTGACGAAGTTTAAGCTCAAAGAACTTCAGTCTCTCCCAATATGAAAGGTCCAGCTTACCCACGAGAGAGAAAGGGCTAATAAATGATAGACCTGTTTTGTTACAAAGTATTAGATGGTGCAATAAAACTAAGTATCTGCCAGTGCACAACTACTTCAACACAAGGAAAATCCTCACTTGGCCCAGATTTTATTGCTACTGGTTTTTTTATTAAAAACTATTAACTGTAAATTATCTTACCATAACTAGAAGAAAGACTTTGAAAAGAAATTTTCAAGTTCTAGCACAAGCAGAAAACGAGCATGTGAGTAGAGCAAGAACACTGGGACAGAAGTGTCTCAGTTCAGAAGGGAACGCATGCTCTGTGCAGTGTGTTTATCCACGTGCACTTGGGCAGCGTGCCGACAGAAGAAAGTCCTGGGCAGGGAAGCCAAGTGGATGCAGTTTCTGACAGAACCACCATAGCAATGGACTCAAGTACGCCCGCCGTCACCTCTTCCTGGGTTCCTCTCTCAAGGTGTGGCAGAATTAAAATTAACACATCGATTTCAGCTCAACAACCCAAATCATGCCACTTTTCATAAACTCTCAGCTAGCTGAGATGTTTTCCTAGCGTTACCTTTACACACTACAGTGAAACAAGACAGAACAGATAAGTGATTTGGAAGAAGGACAGGATTTAGTACAAGTTCACAGTGCCTTCTGAAAATAAGACTGTTGACTCTTACCTGGGAGGTTCCCTCTGGAGAGGGTGTCTGTGTCCAAATTATACGTGTCTTGAAGCCGCAGAAGGGCTTTTGCTGCACCAGTCTGATCTTCATCGTTTGGGAAAAATTGCCTCTGGATAGTCATGTTGGAGATAAAGCCTGGGAAAGACAGTGAAACATTTGGCCACCTTTATCTCAAAAATTCCATAAACTCTACGCATGAAATGACTCCCTGCTCTGGAGAAAGGTAGTATTTCAGACAAGACCATTAATAAGTCAGGAAGAGCTATCAGCCCTGCAGAGCACCAAACAACAACATAAGTTTGTTTCCAAAGGACAGAAGCACCCCTTCAGTTTCAGGCAGAAACTCTCTTTGTCTTAACAGTTTAAAAAAAAAACCAAACAAAACAAGAACACAAAAAAATAAAAACCACCCAAAAAAAGGTTATGGCTGGCCAATAAACAGATGAGAAACAATACTGATGTCTAACTGCAAAGAGCTTTTGATGAGACCTTGGGCAACTAAGCAGCCAGCAGGAACCTCAGCACTTTCTGTGGATTTGAGCATTGATGTAGTTACATAAAAACTTGAGAAGCTCACAGTTAAAAAGGCTCCTCAAGATCCATCTTCACACAACTCCAAATTGAACTCAAGATGCATGTTGATAAGTTAGCCTTTTTTTTTTTTTTTGTGAGAAGAAAGCAAAGGAACAGTCAAAACAGAAAATTTGAGGGCTTTTCAAAGAGGTAACACAATTCTCCTGTAGAGCCAGTGCATTATCCTCTCTCCAGTGGGAGAACTCATGCTATTTTTCCCTTTCTGCTTCTGCACAGTCAAAAAGCTGGTCAATGAGAACTCCAGAAAGCCAGGAGGGCAGAACCAGCATCCTGGGACAGGCAGTCACCACAAGGAACAGCATCAACCAAACATGCCACAAGGACCTTGGTCTGAACAAACAGCCACTCCTGCATTTACAGAAACATAACTTTTCTACTCATCCAACTCTTTCCTCCCAAGATCCAGAGAGCACCACAAGCTGCACAGCATTAAGTAAGGACAGTGCCAACATGATATTTGTTCACTTCACCTAACATACACCAGCAGAAAACTAAGTGCCATGACCCAAAGCAGACAAAGGTGCAAAACCAACCAAAAAATAACAAACTGGCCAAATTTGTGGCTTCTACCACTCTCTGTAAGTCCTTTTTAACCATTCAGGCGTGATAACACTATCACCTTCTGGAGAGGTATTCCTGCCTTAAAAAAATACCATAACCTTTCACTTCTGCATAGCCTTTCTTTCACTACACTATGCCGACCCCGTATTTTCCTTTCTCCTGACAATTTTCTTAAAACAATCGATTTTTCCCCTCTCATTCAGAAGAACAACTTACTATGTACTGGCTCAGATTCCTGGATGGAAGCTAAAACCTTTCAGTCAGCGTATTCAGTCCCTTGCAGCAGCAACAGGGAAGCTGATTGTACTGAACTGCTGTGAGAGACTAACCCTGGGTTAATCTCTGGGTTAGACAAAAGCTCCACTTTTTTATCATTTCACACTACAAATCTACACCTGGCATTAGTAGTTGAGATAGATTCTCACCAGGCAAATATAATCACCCCACCTTCCTTGCTGGTAAGCAAGTTTTTCAGAGTCAACTACTTTACGCCTTGCTCCCAAAAATAAGCTGCCTGAGAAGGGAGGCAGCAAAGGGTTTACCACGCTAATCCAGATTAGTTCCACAAATGCTCAGCCTCTGCCAGCATTCATCTTTTGAATGATCACACCTTAACAGCTCTGGGCATAGCAGCAGCACTTGACTAGATTCACAGCCAGCCTCACGTCTTGCACTCAGAAGAATTTTGTTCCCTTTCTTCTGTTTGACAGAGTCATCAGAGACGAAATATCCTGAAATACTAGTTTGCAGGAAGTGAGAGAGTACACAAAGCAAGCCCTGATCCCTTGCAAAAATTTAAATCACCCAAGGAGATTATTCACTTTAAACACCAGTGTTCCTAATTTTGTAAAGCTCAAATTATATATAGCACACTGACAGCAAAACGGCAGGTCTTCTAGGATTGTTTTGTACGAATGCATCTCAAGAGCAGATTTACAAATCTAATTCAAACCATGACACGTGAAAGACACAGTCAAGTATAGGTAATTATGTGATCTTTATTCTTACTAGAGGCATACTTACCATCTGACATGTCCTTCAGAACCAGGCTTTCCAGCTCAGCCCACTCTGTGTTGAGCCGTTTCATCAACTTGAATGCATTTACAGGATGTCCTAAAAATCCCTCTGGGTCTTTCGTAGCAGTATCTGTCAGCTGATCCAACTTCTCTGCCCATCTAGATTGGAAATATAAATTAATTGAAGTCTCTCGTACAAGTCCGCCAATGCATTACAAAACTTGATTTCATGCTACTCAGCAGTCTTCACTAATAAAAACCCCAACACAAATTGCAAGCTTTTACACTATCTATATACAAAGCTTTTCTAGGAAGAACAAAAGGGGCCTTTTTTCTTTTCCTTTCTTTTTTTTTTTTAAATAATCTCCCTCCTCAGCTGCAGCCTAAACCTTGCATTGCTCTTGCGGTCTTTGTTGGAATACTGCTGAATGAACTGCTTCCTGCAAATACCAAATGCAGTATGCCAGCAGCACCATTGTGAGTTTTCATGCACGACTAATCAAAAACAAAGCTTTACCTACATTTTGATCTTTCAAACTCTCTTTTTTTCTAAAGTTTACAAAAACGTAGTTCAACGCTTGTCTCAAATCATTATCATTGCAACACACACTCTTAAATCTAGAAGCCCCTTGCCCCCCCCACCAAGCTGCCCTCCATCCTGTAAGCTCGTATGAAGAAACACGCGGTTCTCACGCTCCCAGAGGAGGAGGAGCCCAGCTCAACTTGCCGGTGCTACAGTTTTGACCCCCATCAAGTGCTCCATCCCTGCCAGGAACACAAGCCATTCACAGCTCTGACACACACTGAAACAAGGACACCTCTCAGCAGCGACTGTTCCTCATCTACTGTTTGAAACAGAAACATCCAGGGAGGCTGCTCCAGTCTCAAGTCAGGAAACACATCGGTCGTGCTGTAAGCACTAGAGCCATGCTACTACACGTCTGCAAAACCACCAGGCTTCCTCTCTCTAGCCAAAACATCCTGACACACAGCAACACCCTGAACAGGATAAATGAGTGTCAAAAAAGCCACACTCCGCAGAGAATGCCAAACACCAACACCAACAGAAAGCAAATACAAAACACGTAACCTGAAGGGAACGCTGTACACAAGCCGGCTCCCGTACACCAAGTCCAGCTTCCAGCAAACCAGAGACTAAAAGAAACCAACTTCAACAAACCGCGCAGTCAGGCTGCACATGGTCAAATCCATCCTACATTTCCCACTGCATGACTATCAAACCTCCTCAGTAGCTGAAAGTCATTGTAACCATGAGCCACAACCACACAGCCAGGATGTCTTTCAAGTAGCTTGTGTTTCATAAAAATCTCCACCACGTGCCCCCCACAAGGTGTGAGCCATCCTTCGCAGTTCAGTGAATGACCAACTTCCACCGAGTTCACGTCAACACCAGCAACTAACATCCTTCAGCCAAAGCAGAGCCCAACAAACTCAAATGATGCTGGCGTTTTTTCCAGGTTTTCTCACTGCTTACACGACAGCGAGCCCCTCTAATATAATAAAAACACAGCTGCAATGCTTATATGATAAACTGTATTTACACACTTGTGGATATCCAGTGGGCGTGTTCCCATCTTAATTTGTAGCTATAAAGAATATACTTACAGCATTCTAAACGTGTGAGCAACTCCAACTCTGTATTTTAAGTGATATAAATAAATACAGTCTGGCAGAACCATCTTTCTTGGATGGTAATAGAACACACAAAAGTTAAAATTCATGCATCTATCTAAAATCATTTAAACATCTTCACAACAGATTTATGCACATTTTTGAAAGCCAGGAAACCACTGTGTTTCACGATACAAAAATTTTTATTTCTAGCTGTGATAAAATCTGACATACTGGGCTCTGATCCTCATTCCCATAGAGCTGAGCAACACAGTAATGGCAATAGTCAGGTCTCTTGTTATTTAAAACAGTAGTTTTATTTTGCTTTTACATCTAGTGTGTCATTGCAGTCCTTGCAACACTCATCTGGAGACTTTTTGGGTTTTAGTTTCCACTAAGCAAACTGTCATTGAAAGACCTACATCCCCTTGGGAATTACATGCAAGCAGCAGTCCTAAAGTGAAGGTATCCTACAGAAAGCAGGCTGATTAGATTCCATCATTAGAAAGCTGCATACAACAAACCAATGGCTCAGAGATAACAACTCAGGACAAAAACATGGCAAAACCTGTTAGTTTATGCTTTGCCCAAAAGGAAAAATTCCACAAATTTAATCACCCTTGGGAAGCACTTTTTACAAAAGGGTAAACTCAGATTATTAACTATTAGCACTATGAAACAAGCTGCTTACTTTTTGATCTGTTCCAGCTTGCTTTCTTCTGCCTTGATGTAATCTTTCAGTGACACCACCAGATCTTTTTCTGTATTAATTAAGTCTGTCATATGACCTAGAAAACAAATTAGTTTGGTTAGACAGGGAGAAAAAAAATAAAAAATAAAAACTAGAGGTGTTCTTCCTCTACTTTCTTCCTCTCAGTCCTTCTGCATTTGCTTAAATAATTCTGAAGGAGTATCTGAGTAAGGCTTCTTGCCTTTTTTTGAGGAGACAATCTCAGGCTGGACCAAGCCTGTTGCCATGGAAATTAATGTAATATCACATATTTATTATTAGAACTAATTTAGGATTCATTTGGAAAAGGAAGTAGGTTTCAACAGAGTAATCTTTCATCCAAGCATCCATAATGCAGAGCAAATAAAGACAAAGCTACAGAAATATACAAAGCCTTCGTGTTTGATATACAATACTAATCCAGTGTTTTATTTTTCAGATTACTTGCATGAGTTCAATCGGTCCACTAACAGACTTTGTTATTAATTAATAATTGCTTCATTTCCTGCAGGCAGGCAGCTGAACTGGTTCATCACGAAGTGACACAGTCCACATCTTCAGCTGTGTCACAGGCCATCAGAACCCAAGAGAAAGTACATGGGCATACTGGTATTGTAACACGATGTCTTCCTCACTACTACATTTGTGCAACAGTCCACAGGGAAATTTTGTTTAAAATCCAATAGCTGTAAGAATACACAACAAATACAAAGCCCAGCCCGGGTCATTGAGACTAAATGGACTGATTTAACTCAAAGTGTGTTTCTCACAAAAGAAGTCAGTAAGGTCAAAAGAACTAGTGAGCGGGTTCAGGTCTGTATCAGTGAAAGACTTGGGTGCCATTTACACATCAATGCAGAATCAGTTTTGAGAGCCACCAAGAAATTCTTTCAGCTGTGTGGCACATACACCAAAACACGCCTCACCGATGGAAGTGAAGAAGTCCGTATGGGCACAAGAACAAGGCAGCAGAAGTCCAAGGGCTAGGGTATACCAGATCTTGTTGAACGCCATAGTTCAACAGCTGTTACCTCACCACGTACCTATGAAAGAAACATAAAAAATGGGTAAAAAAAATCCCTGTTCATCAGATAGTTAAATCTGTCTTCAGAGAGGCAGCTTATTCTGTTGGGGCTGCCACTCGTTCGGGAGGCAGCAGAACCTTGCTAAGCTTGAGCAGCTCTCACAGAGCACCGACGCCCTTCTGCAAACTTTCCTACACTTTTGTCTGGTGTGGTAAGAGAATAAAAATTAGCTTGGAGACCGGAGTCTGCACAAGTGCTCCCCATCTTTTTGATATATAAGACACATTGAACATAGACATGTCTCACAAAAAGCACCAAAAAAACCCCCAAGATCAAACCCTGAAAAAAACCATAATGCCAAGCTGAAACACGTAATCAACTTCAGCTACTCAACAATGACGATGTTTCCTTCAATCAGCGAGGAAGATGCCAGTGAAACAGGTCTAAATGAAATTCCTACACAACTAGTCGACAGAGTTACTTACATGCTCCTGCTCTTCAGCTGCACCAGCATGAAGCCAGCCTCCACAGCTGGTACCAAAGGCTGCTGCCGCCTGGTTCACAGTTAGTGCCGGCACCAGTCCATCGCAGGCTCCCAGGCAGTGCTTCCTCCCACAAGCAGCTGCCAAGCTCTCAGCCTCTCAAGAGTCTGAGCCCTTTTAACAGGCTAGGATTTCCTCGCTACTGCATACTTCAAAATTAATTATGCTGTATTGGAATTCAACAATATTTATTTTTTTCCCAAACACAAAAGCTTAAACTCTCATGGATTGCTATGTACCACATGTACTATGAGAACTGTTTTATACAACTCTTCCAACAGCAAGAAAGACAACAAATGAAGAAAAAAAGCAACATCACAAAGCAAGTCCGGATCCAAAGTGGTTTGGCCTATTTAGGGAAGAAAGCTCTATGCTTTTGATCGAGTTGACGGTACTGATGGCAAACAACATAAAACCAGGCATGTCATTCACACAAGGAAGGTGTAAACAAATCAGCAAAGTGCAATAGTCACACCCAAAGGAAAATCATCCCACCCACAAGCAAAGGTATTAACAGAAAATGCTCCCTTGGCTGCAGAGTGGAGGATCTCTTATACTGCACCTGAAGGGCAATTTGGAGGCAAGAACGGGCAGCCCAAGACAGCTAAGGGAGGAAAAACGGTTCTTTCTGGCAGCAGCACAGGTTTCATCCATTTGTGAAACTCCAGCCCTGAACACAACAAACACATGTACACCCCTCCAGGCAGCCTGTAACACCTGACCTGGCTTTCAGCATAAACCAGGGATCCTCATAAGGTCTACACAACCGTGCCTCCTCCTTTTACAACTAGTACCAGCCCTCGCTGAACAAGAGCTTTAATTGAGTAATTGCTGTAAATTAATGGGTCACATCTGGCATCAAGTTTTCTTGCTGGCAAATTTCCTTTCACTCTTTACTTAAAAGAAGCTGTATCCACATGCACAAGGACGCCAACCTGTCCCTGTACTCTTATTCGAAACACTGCTCAATCTACATTTGGCTGTGCAGAAAGCCAAGTGCCTCCTGCTCATTCAGCACACAAGCTAATACATGTGAATCAATTACAAAGCACAAACAGTTCTACACTATAAATATTTGCCAACATTATCAGCGCTCAGAATTCGTTGAGCTATTTGTTTACTGCACTCAGTGAATCACAGGGAAAGCTTCAGAAAGTTTACTTATTGCTATTAATCAATAGGTAACTTTTCTAAAACACAAACAAAACAAAACACTAAAACCTGCAATGACAACAATGTCTCTTCTCCAGCTCTCAGTGACAGGCTTCCACCTCTCACGACAGAGCCTCAGAGCCTGTTGCAGTAGTATGAACTGTAAACAGTTTTTCCTCTTCTCTGTCCAGCTTTGCAGCCTGCTCCTTCGGCCTGACTCTGAAGCTTGTTGTCAGCCTACTCTCTCCTCACACCTTCCCAGCAGGCACACAGCAGAACCAGCGAGTGGAAAGGGTTGCACATCGCAACAATGAAAATTCTAAGTGGGTGCAAAGAAAAAGTTTCTCACAGTGACAGCAGTTAGGCACCAGAATGAGTTGCCCAGAGAAACTGGATTTCCCATTCCTGGAGGAATTTCAAAACTAAATTGGACAAGCCCACGCGCAGTCTAACCTGACCTCCAAGCTCATCCAACTTCAAACAGGAGGCTCGTGTAGATGACATCCAGAGGTCACTTGCATCTTCAATTTTCTTTCCTCTCACAGTCTCCGGATTCTCTGTCATTTGCAAGGACTGAGAGTCCCGTAATAGCTTTCAGTCACCCAAGATTGCTTCCCTCCCAGACGGAATTCAGCGAGCTGGAAATAGAGCCCAAAGCAGCGGCCAGCCAAGCTTTCTGTGCCCTAACAGTAGTTGCCAAGTAGCACAGCTTTCAAAACTACTGCGAAAGGATCAGCTACAGGTTCCCAACACAAAGAAAATAAAGCCCAGTTAATATAGATGCTGGAAATCTCCTAGACATGCAAGCTGCCAAATAAGTAGGCTTCATTTCTTCTCGTCAGTGACGTGAAGTAAAACAAGACAGAAATCCTCTCTGCATCACTCCCCTCAGTCTGACTCTCCCCCTCAGGCACACACAGTGCTGGCAGCTGAGCATCTGGGAGAGGAGGGAACCCGCTACCCACATACAGAAGTGGGTGTCCGGCTGACAGCTTTAACACAGGAGCTTCCTGGCTTTCCAGAAGAAGTACATTCGCTAAGCTCTGAAACCGTAAAGCACGGTAGAGCACACAAAAAAAACCCACAACAGGCAAAACAGCAAAGAACAAACAAACCGAAGTGGCAATTAGACAAAGGATTCTGCCAAGTGCAGCACAGGATTCTCCCAGCAGGAAGGATACACAACAAATGCCATTTGAAGTGACAAAACTTAGAGGGTTGTGGGTTTTTTTGAGGACTGCTTTTAAAGAGTTCAGCTCTGCTCTATATGTATAAACAACCTGCAAAAGCCATGGCAGAGTGGATGTGCACATAGCAGCCATGCAAGCAGAAGGAAAAGCGAAGTCAAGACAAACTACAAAGAGCTATAAAAACTCACAACAGTCAAGGTCACACCAACTGGTGACTGAAGACTGCAACATTTAACTGAGGATGCTTATCAGACAAGTCTCCTTGCTGCCAATTCCAAGGTCCCAGGTGCTTGCCAGGATCCAGAAAATAAGACAGAAAATAGAAACTGAATGCGTAACTTCAATATGGAATTATTCTGCAATAGTTTTAAATTCTAACACAACTTGCTCATTTAGGTAAGAAATAAGCGAGCTACTCCTGCTGCAAGGCCAGGAGTCAAAACTCTATCACCAAGATCCTTGATTTAAATACCAGCCTGCTCCCATAATCCTTACCGTATCCTACTGTATACAAAATAATAACAACATAAAAAGAGTCAGTTAAACTGAGCTGTATTTGGGAAAGGAAGAGGATAGCACTCAAGGACAACTCAAGTTATAGTCTCATGACATGATGTGGCTGGAAAGAGTACTCAAAAGGAAAGAACTTTCCCAGTGTAAGTACCAAGAACACTTAGCCGTCATCCTTGCTTAACAGTCTCACAGGAAAGAAACATTAGAAGCCAGTTCCCTGTTTCAAAATTAAGGTCCAAACAGTGAGAGAAGAAAGATTTTTCTAGAATTGCTGCTATCAAAAGAACACGGAGTAGATTAGACTTCTTTTTAATGACGCGGTTATAAGTCATTATTGTACTTCACATATATATTTGATAAGACATGAGAATAAATTTTAGACTCAAGGAGGTGACATGTTTTAAGTATCATTTGTTGCCAACTTGAAGAACAACATTTGTGAGTCTGACTTCAGAGCAGGCGTGTGGGTACACAGAGTTGCACCCAAGGAACTGAGGCACGTTTTTGCTTGGTTTCTGCCAGACTAAGACGGAATGGACGCAGCCCTCCATGAACCCACTTGTTTTAACTTTCTAAGTCAAGACAAAGAACACTAGCGATGGAGCAGAACACTTATTTTACTAGACACAACAAGCAGGAGGCTCTCTTATTTATCCTTCTCACAGATTAGCAGAGCACCGACAGAGATATACAGACTGGTTTAACATATTAAGGCTGATTATAAAGAAAGCAGGACAATCCCAGTGATCAAGAGCGGAAAACCAGTACCAGAGCTCTTTCAGGCTCAAGCTGCAGCCTTGCACATGGTTCTGCAAGAGCAGAAAGCCTGCTTCTCTCAAGGGGAACTGCAAGTCACTCTGAAGATACTGCAACAACACTGCCTACAAACACCTTGCACAAGCGACAGCAAAGATGTTGTTTCAGCACCAACTCTGTATTCAGAGTCTTTCCTCAACTAACCAGATATAATTTATCAAGTGAGTTTTTTTCAATAAGCACATTCTTTTGAACCACTTTCTTAAAAAAGTTTCCTTACCTACATCAACCTCAACACAGAGACAGAGTTTTCCTCCCTCTATTTATCCTCACTCCTTCTACACTGTTACTCATTATCTGTCATTGATGTTTTTCAGACCGCACTAGGTGTTTTCCAATCCATATGCACGCCTCATAAATCACAGCTTTAGATACTTGATTTTAAAACCAGTCATTATACGAGAACATTTACATCTCTAAGGATCAGAAAGCCGTCCTCTGTCCCGGCTGGATGCAGAGCTCTTGCCATATACATTTATCCTGCTGTTCAACCCAAGTTTCTCCCGTTTCCAAACCACATCAGCTGTGCCAGCAGATGACCCATCATGCATAGGGTTACACAGTGAATTAGCAAGGGGAACTAGTCCACACCAGCTATTTCCCAATACTTCCAGTAGCTCCACGTAAGGACAGCACTGCCACTGGACACCAGGCCATGACATGGTGCTGCTCCTTCAGCTTCTAAATAAATTAACCAGCCAATTAATAACCAGTGTCTACCTATGCCACTTAAAAGACAAAATTAGCATAGCGTGATTTCGGCTTATTCCCAATAC